GGGGGTTGCGGTTCCGTCCCGCCGGCGGAAGGGACCGCGCCTGAGGGAGGCTGCCGGGTTGAGGCGCAGCCATCCCAGCCTGGCTGGGGAGGGGAGTCCCGGCGGGCGACCGCCGTTCCGCGGGGAGAGAGGCTCCGTAGTGCCCCACGTCCGAGGCGCCGCCATTTGAGAGGCCTCACGAGTACCCCGCTGCTACGGCACCTGTGGTGCGAGAGACCCCGGGAGCGCTCCGCAGCCAAGCCGCTGCTATTTGAGAGGCCCCACAAGTACCCCAGGGCTGAGGCGCCGCCATTTGAGAGGCACAAGTACCCCAGGGCTGAGGCGCCGCCATTTAAGAGACCCCACAAGTACCCCAGGGCTGAGGCGCCGCCATTTGAGAGGCACAAGTACCCCGCGGCTACAGCACCTGGGGCGTGAGAGGCCCCGGGAGCGCTCCACAGCCAAGCCTCTGCCATTTGAAAGTCTCCACAAGCACCCGACAGCTGCAGCACCACCATATTCGGGAGTGAGAGGCCCCATAAGTGGCTCATGGCTAAGGTGCTACCATGTCAGATGCTACCATCATTTGAGAGGCCCCACGGCCAAGGTACTGCCATGTGAGAAACCCAACAAGTGCCCCGCAGCTACAGCCTCACTGTCCCAGGGCTTAAGAGTCCCCACAAGTGCCCCACAGCCTTGGAGTGCAAGGGGTCCCCCAAACACGACCCAGCAGCAGGGTCTCCTGGGCACCATGGAGGTCTCACGGCTTCCCTTCATGACAGCAGCGAGCAGGGGAGGGGAAGCCGCAGCAGCCAGGCTCTGACAGCAGCTGCTCCTGCATGGCTTCCAGCCACAGCCACTGCGTTGTGCAGTGATGGAGAAATCGTGCCAGGTGGCCACGGTCACGCTTACTGAGCGTTGCAATTCTCTGGGTGGTAACTTATTCAAACTTACATTTTAGGCTGTAATTCTATATCAGGCCACAAAAGATGCTGAAATACAGGGACACGTTAGGCCCCAATTAAGCAATAACAGCCTAATGCCTGATCGTGCCTTAAACACACTTACATTCTCAGCAATAGTCCTGCAGCAGTCAACAAAAGGTATCAAAACACAGGGAAGCTCCGATTAACTAAGAGCAGTAATTCTATTTGTGTTAACAAGCAGAGGCACGTGAACATGTGGCTATGGGCTGCATAAAAGCATGTATGTGGAAATCCAGGGGTTCACACCCTGGCTTGCTGCTAACTCATTTCTGTGCCTGCCCCTGTGCTGACACCAGACTGGGGTCAGCCCAGCTGGGCTGGAGATGGTTTTTTGCTCCTTAGTAGTCAATGTTGACAGACTTTTGTGGGGTGCAATTTGTTTTGCAGACTCTGGAACAATAAATCCCAAACAGCCATCACTGGGATCAGATGCCTGGGAGTCATAGGGACTCTTCAACCACTTCCTTCAGAGACATGTTTGACCTGACCTATGTTTACCCTTTGGCTCATGACCCTCCTCTGTCAGGTAGCAGGCTCCTCGCTTCAGCTTTTTTCTTGTCACTGATGTACTAATGGCCACAGAAAGCTGCCGAAACCTGTAACGACCCCATGCTAGTTGCTGGTGCAGCGGGCTAAGCTTTTTGCAAGAGGAGGAGTGAGTTATGGATGCAGAAGAGAGAAATGCATATATACACACATAACATAAATAAATAGCAGGAAAAAAAATCAAGAGAATTGTGGAGACGCTTTGTTCCCTGCACAACCGTGCACTATGGACATTATTTCCTTTGTTCCAGATGCTGCATATTGTGGTTGCATTATACTGTTTCATTCCTCCGGTCAGACTTAGTTTGCTACATGGCAAAAGGCTGCATCAGGCTAAAGATAGGCAATAGCACCACTACCACAGGCTGTGAAAGGTTTATCCCAGAGGATAATCAGATTCAGTACATTTAAAGCACAGACCCATCAGCAAGCAAGCCCTTGTATGCCTCACAGTAGAAACTCTGGTTTCAGATGCATGGACGTTGTGCCCACAGGGTAAACTGCATGCTTCTGTCACTTCAAGGCTGTATTTTGCTACTGCTTTGCCTCCAGCAGCAAGGCTGACACAAGTAGTCGCTCCTGTGTACTGCTCCTGGTATCACACACCTGGGCAGCCATTTCCAGTGGGACTACTCTCCCATCTCGCCTTAGCATGGACACGAGTGCTAGGCCATCATAGCTTTTGGACCCAGACATGGAACTTCCTGGGTCACAACTATTTGTGGCACCTGCTAACACACAGCTATCTTCCTGTGGGGTTGTGGAGCTCATGCCAGCTGTTAGCTCTGCAGACATTTGAACACTGCAGAAGGGAACCCCTGAGAGAAGTGGGAGGATTTCATTAACCTCAGAGGCCAATGGAAATTTGTGGCTGCAGTTTTCCTGCTTTCACCACTTTCTCAGGCCGCCACACATCTGGATGCACCCATGGGTCCCCAGGTTTCAGATGGTGAAATACTGAATAATGCCATGGAGCACAATAAGAATCTTACAATCTTAAGGATCTTAACCTTGCAATTACTTCCCTCTCACTTCCTTACCTGCAAGGCCCTGGATGGCCTGATGCTGCAAAGCCAAACTCATCCATAGTCCACATGGAAATGTGTGAACCTAGTGAAGATCAGTCCAAGACTCTTCACTGAGATAATCACAGCCTCAGCCTGCACCTCTTGTAGGCCTCTTGTAACATCACAATTTATTGAGGGCATGGGGAGCACCTTCGACTCCCTTTTATTTACAGGATGAGTACATCTGTTTTCCAGTAAGCAAAACATTCCAGCCCTGTCTGGAAGTAGCCATTTCACACCCAGATAGAGGTTTGGGTGTTTTTGTTGTTGCTGCTATTGTTGATTCATGTTAACACCCTAAAGGCACAACGACTGGAGAGTGAAAACTGTTGCTGTGGATTCCAAGCTTTTTGCATCAGAATATTCCTGGCAGTTTTCACAAAGTCTTTGTGGCTCACAACTCCCGCAGCACCAAAGTTTCCATTGCAAATCTTATTGAAAGCACAGCTTAACATGCTCCTGTGTGGACCAAAGCGCTGGCTACTCAGCCTGGCCTGCTGATTGCCACTCATGTGTGCGTGACAGCCTGGGAGACACTGACATAGGCTGAAATAGCACTGTTTACTATTTTGTGTGCAAAATTGCAATGAAATCAGATCTCTTGTCTTACTCTACAAGAGGTAACTGGTTTATATGATGAGTTTAAAGAGAAGAAAATGTGGCACCACCAGAAAACAAACAAACAAACAAACTGGTTTAATGTTACTATAACTTCAGAACTGTTGTCTTCCATGTCAGTGGTGATCACCACCACCGCTGCTCTCTCTTTACATCCATTATACCTTTCCTAGACATGCTTTAGAAAATTAAGATGTGCCTTTTCATGCTTTCAAATACCATCCTTGGCTTTCTGACGTGCTGGAATTAATATCAGCTCAGCACAGTTCAAAAAGGCTTTATTGGAAGCTGGAACAGCAAAAGCTATAAAAACACCCCATGTTAAATCTTAAATGCTTGTTAGGAAGCCAACGGGATTTTCCCTCCAGCAACCTGCAGACGTCACTCACAATATTTTCATAGCATCTTTTCCACTACCTGGCAGAAATCTCTTTGTCCTTAACAGACTCTGTTTGTGTTCAGACTGCAGGCACACATTTGACATGCTCCTCATGGGGAAAACGTGGTGTGTGTTTATTTGTTTGTTTTGCTTGGGGATCACAATAGCTGGAGTCATCTGTCTTCTAATCCCTAAAACATGACACAGTTGCAATAAAATGAGAGACCATGAGCATAACATAAAACTGATTGTTGTATATAGATCCAGACTGCAGAAAGACTGAGTTTGCAGAATTTATTCACATGGATAAACTCAACGAAATCAGAGAGGCTGTGGGAGTGACGGACACCATGTTAGCCCTGTTGTCCATTGCGGTTCTGGCCTTGTGTTACTTAATGTTGCCTCAGACAATTGTCCTCAGCCGTGTGGGTTGAGAATGGCATTCCTGACTCGCTGCCTCATCACTGCTGCCAGCTGGCTGGGGGTGTCCCCATTGCTCCTACAAGCATGCTCAAGCGAGACAGAAAGTTTGAGTTTGCCCTAATCATGTTCATTGTTTGCTTTCAGTAGTCTGACTTTCGGGAAAGAGACCTGGGAGTGTCTACATAACCATTTTCCACTGGCAAAGAGACAGATGGGAGGGGATGGGAAGGGAGGGGAAAGCAAAAAAGAAAGGGAATCCTCTGTGGAGGAGCAGCTGTGGGTGGTTACTAACTACAGCTGCTGTTTTTGAAGGGAAAGCCCTTCCCCACAGCCTCCGTGGTAAACCAAGTTTCCCCTCTCCTGCCCTATGGGTCAGCCTGAGGCTGAAGGTGAGTGTTGCAGCGTGGATACCATTTTCTATGCCTCCCTTGGACAAATCATGGGCTGATACACTCACTGCTATATTGTGTCCAATCCTGGTCTGCAAACTGAGCTGGAGCCAAGTCCCAACAGCGCAGAACTGCCCT